AATTCACTCTTCAACGGCCTCCCCCTGATTTTCTACTTAGGTCATCGGAAAACCTAGTCGGGTCTATATCTCAAATCCCTAGACTATACAGAGCTGAAAGAGCAGTTCCGCCTGCCCGTTGTGAAGATCTTGAAGCGGCTGTGAATGCTGCCGGTCTCACCAGCAAGCAGGCCCTAAAAGAAGCAAAAGTTGCTTTGCTGGAGTATCTGCATGCTACTAGAAGCATCCAGTACTTGGATGCGGATCATATGAGTAGAAACTCGCCTTACTTTCTTGAGGGGCTTCTGAAGAAAGTAGTCATAGCGGGGAACATTGGGCGATCAGTTTCCAGGTATTTGCGTTATCATCCCATCAATGAATTTGAGCCCTTCTTCGAAAGCATCGGTCTAACACCCTCTGAATATCCATCTATTTTACCCAAAAATATGATGTTTTTGAGTGACGATCAACTGTTACTGGAGAACTATTACGCTCTTTGTAACTATGGGATTCCTCGTAATAAGATAGGAAAGATATATATGGAAGCAGCTGAAGTGTTTCGATATGATTATGGGGTTTTACCGTCAAAGCTTCGAGCTTATGAAAGATTGGGTCTTGGCCAGCCTACTCTGCTAAAAGTCATTGCTTCTAGCCCATACCTTCTGACTGGAGATTGTAACCCTGATTTTGTTAAGGTTATTGAGAAGTTTAGGCATTATGTTAAGGATATTAACTGGATTGAGGGACATTTATTGGATGACACTTCTTGTAATTGGAGCCAGATGCTCAGGCTCCTGTGCTTTTTGGGCAGGGTTTTGACTGAGCAACAGTTATCTGACATAATCAACCTGCACCCTGACTTTCTCTTTGAGGGATCGGGAGGTAGTAGCACACTCTCCCTTATTGTCTTCCTGCTAAAATTTGGATTGTCTGTGGATCAAATATCCTTCATATTTATAAATTTTCCACCGATAAGAGTGAGCAAATTCCTTTCAAACTTGAGGCATTGTTTTCTATTCTTAAGTGAACTTGAAATGGAGGCTGCAGAGATTGGGAAGATTTTCCGTTCTCACTCCTTAATGTTGGGTTCATTCACTTTGAAGAAAACCAATAGTTTACTTTCTAACTTGAATGTTGGGAAGAAGCGACTTCGGATGTTCGTACAGGATAATCCGTTAGAATTGAAGAATTGGGAATTGGGAAGAAGAGTCAAGCCTTTGCCGGGCACCGACGAAGAGAAAATATCCCGGTTGCGGAAGACAGAGTTCTTGTTGAGATTGGGATATGATGCGGACTCTAAAGAGATGAAAGATGCATTTAAATTGTTTAGAGGTAAGGGAGCAGAACTCCAGGAGAGGTTCAACTGTATTGTTCAAGCTGGCTTGGATCCTCAAGACGTGCAGGAAATGCTCAAAGTTGCCCCTCAGATTCTTAACCTCAGAACAGATGTAATCAACCAGAAAATTGACTATCTTGTAAATGAACTAAGACATCCCGTATCAACTTTAGTCAACTTCCCATCTTATCTTTCCTACAGTACTGAAAGAGTCCGGCTTAGGTTCTCAGTCTATAAGTGGCTTGTAGACCAAGGATGTGCTGATCCCAATATTTCTTTGAGAGCTGTAATTTCATGCAGAGAGGACATGTTCATACAATGTTATGTAAATCGCCATCCAAGTGGCCCTAAATTTTGGCAGGATTTGAAGAATGAAATTTATTGTCAGAACTAGCATTTTAACTCTTTGGACATACGAATGATCTAGACTTGATATCGATATTTTAGTCTCTCTCTAATCCTCGCAAGGGATCAAAGGTTGATTGACAAATGACTTGCATGTGTTCTGAAAACGCATTGCCTCCAGTTAACTTGATTACTATAGGTTGGCATGCTGGATAGTTATAGCCGATTGAAGATTAGGCTTGTTTAGAGCTCAATAGTTTCCTCTCTTAGTACATTTGCAGGTAACCAGTACATTTGCAGGTAACCAGGCAGTACAGAGGAAATCTGTCCATTGCTAGTAGCTAGCTAGACATTACAGAGGAAAACGTGTTTGACTCTTGATCAATTGTTCACGTGTTAGTATTTGCTTAAAATTCTAAAGTAATTTCTTAAATTGTAAATAAAAATCTATTTTCAACTTATTTATTATTTTTAATTAATTTCAACTAATTATTTGTTATCTTAGGAATTAGTTATTCGAAGTTTATGATAAACACCAGAGGGAGTGCTAATTTGTCAAAAAATATATATTGATTTACTTAAAATGTTTTTTTTAAATGATCGGTACTAAAACTATCCTTAGGGGGTGTTTGAAAGCACTCAAAAGTGTTTTTTAGAAGTATTTTTTCATAAAATGAGACAAACTCTTCCACATATTTACTTTGTATATCGTAAAAGTACTTTTAAAACCATAGTTTGATTTCTATTCAAACACCCCTTAATGTAGGAGAATATCTATGCCATTAATAAAGCTGATTTTATATTAAGGATTGTAATTCTTTTTAAAAAAGTGAATATATGTTTGTAAATCTAGTTTCTTTATTTTTTGTGTGTTATTTATCTGTTTTTATTGTTTCTTTTTTTTTTGATACGTCTGTTTTTATTGTTTCTTGTTTATCTTAACTAACGGAATAGAATAGTTGTCACAAGTGTGTGTTGTTTGTTTGTTGGTGCGTGAGAAATTTCATGTTATGAGACGCCTGCGCCTCACGCTTTCACCTGAAAAATGGAAGAAAATTTCTGCCAAAAAGATATTTAAAAAAAAAAAATGCGCACCGCTGGAATCCTGCTTGAAAAAGCATGGATTAGGAGGCGGTTTGGGCCTTTGTGCGGTTCTCTATATCAAGCGTGATATTCTGCTGATGCTATTTATAAAGCATAAAAAAAAAAAATTCTCTGTCTTATTTATAAAGTACTGAAAAATTTTTTTATATAAATTTATAATTTTACTTTTTATTTATTATTATGTTGACTTTGTTTGCATGAAATAAAATACATATTATATGGGGATAAAACTAAAATTTATATAAGAGTTAATGAAATTTAAATTTTTATTTATTTATGAAGGAGTATTTTTTATTGGATGTTAATTTAGTGAAAAATTATATTCTAACTAATACTTTTATTTTTATTTTAAACATGAGGTATATTGCATACTTTTCATTTTTTTTACAAATATAAGTATTTGAATAGGCATAAGCTTCCTCGAGTTTGAAAATTTATTTACATTGTTTATGAGATTTTGTGTACTAACAGAGTTTATTTTAAGTACACTTGGGTTTCTTATACATGCATAGAAGTCGCATTCATCATGATGGGGGGGGGGGGAAGAGAGGGGAGAGAGAGAGGTGGCATTCGTAGATACCATTTAGTACACAGACACAGATATTGACATCGGAGTATTAACTGGCGTAACATTTTTCAAAATTACAAATAGCATTACAGTATTTACTTTAGGAAGGTTTAGATGCTGCCGTGTCGTTTCTCTACTTGAACATACCGACCCCTCAACATCTTCGCTTTAACTCCGATACCTCGTGTCCACCTTTTTCCTTCCTACTGTCTCCAATTCATTGCTTTCCGTTTGCCTCTTCTTTTCTTCTCTCTTCCTTAGGTTACTGCTCTCAAACCCGGCTCGGCTTGACCCACGGAGCAGCTTCAATCTCTTACATTTATCCATCACGTCCCTTTCTGATCTGGCTCTTCTTCATCTTTAATTTAGATCAATTTTTTCTGCCCCTTCATCGACTCTGTTATACATTACTGTCTGCAGCAGCCGGCCTTTCAGAGGAAGGCTGTCGTGCTCTTTTCGGCTTTGACATTTTCTGGATTTGTGTAATCAGATTTCATAAGAATGGGCCATCGTCGTGTTTCAGATGCGGAACGTAAATAAATTCTACGAGGTGAGCCTCAAGTCTCTTGGTTTCTCTTGCTTTATTTATTTCTAGTAGATCTTACAAAATGTGTGTTCCCTTTTCTTTTCTTAATTTCTATTAAATCCCGTTGTCTTTTTAGTATACGAAACTTAGCAAGGAGCTCTATGAATCTTCAAACTTTATTCGTCACAGTGTTTTAATTGATCGGGATCAGTGGAAATTAGGATGTTTAATTGGTAGATTGGGATTGGATTTTGGTGGCAGTTCAGTGTCATAAATCTGAACTAAAGAGGCCTTATGTTTATGCACAGTTACGTCCGCTTCTTTGCGTAATGGGATTCAGCTTATTGTTTTGAGTGGATTTGCATGAGTAAACGGGTCCAAATCGCTGCTGAGGAGAGTGATATTAAATAAGATACGGGAATATCTCGTCATTGGCCTGACAGGATCTGGCCAGGTGAAATGGAGACCCTATTCCGTGGATTGGTTGCTCATAATTTCGTAGAGATCCGTCATGCGAATAATTTGCTTGTCGTGAATGTCGTTTCTGAATGACCAAAAAGAAAAGAAGAAACAAGAATGTTGTTACCTAAGTTGTCCTAAGAAATCATCCGATTGTCTGCCATATGCCTATATTTTTTTGTGTGCTCTGTGAACTTGAGTTATTCTCTTTCTTCCTTTAGCCTACACTATATTCAGTAGGATATATATATAAGTTTCCATGTCCTTTTCATCTTTCTATCCTTCTATTTTTAAAGCTTGGCTATGTCCTATATCTAAAGTTATTGGCTCATTGCTGGTGGCGCACTTCAGAGTTTTAACTGACGTGCTGTTTACCTATTCCTTTAAAGGCAGAGTGCTGAAGAGAAATAATTAGCCGTGCTGCATACCACTTGATTCACATCTTTCTTTAGTAGCGTTGATTTAATATGCACAGATAACTGATTTAAGCAGTACATACTGATGAAGTATTGCCAATGAGAGGATTTGAGGTGTGCAGAGTATTGAAAGATAGAAGTGTGCTCAGAACTACCTCATCACAAGCCTTTTGAATTGTTGGACATCTTTCATTGCCATTCATTTCTTTGACCCACACCTGGACCTCTAAGTGCAGTTATTTTACCCTTGCAGCTTTCTACAAGAGCTGTTTAGTAGATTTCATCGGCAAGGTCCTTTTCACTATGGGTAAAGGCAGAGGAAAAGGGAAGAAGCAATCGGTTATTGCTAAACGGGAAGAATATGGAAATGAAAAGGACAAAGGTTCTGCTTACAGGCGAAGTGGAATACAACAAAAGTCACTGAAGGATGAAATTGAAGAACCAGAAGAAGTGTCAGGAAACATAGAAGACGGGGAGAACGTGGAAGTTAAAAATTCAAGCACTGAGAATAAGAGAAAAAGGAAAAGGTCTGTACTAGTTAAAGAAAAGATAGATCCTGTGAAAGAGGAGAATCCCATCAGAGCGAAACGAGATCCGGATGATTCAAAAAAGCCCGTCGGATTCCGGCAAAATGGAAGCAGGCGGAAAAACAAGCCTCGCCGGGCAGCTGAAGCTGGTGTAAATTGCAACTTGCAAAGCGAGATTTTTGTCTGATTGTCACGATAGTATTAAGTTGCGAGTTTTTTTTTTTGAAGAACTGGAATTTTTTCAGTCACAGACAAGATTTCTGTCCTATGTAAGGCTTGTAATGATTGCTTATCATAAATTATGCTGACTTCTCTTCATTTGTGTGTGTGTGGGTGTATTGATCTCCTTTAGAATAAAAAGTTGCCTTAGCCGTTAGTTCAGCTTAAAATTTGTTGGCCACAATACCCGTAAATAAACTTGAATACATATTTTTTCAATGGCAACAAAAATAAATGGAAGTCGTGATGGCAGAAAAAATGGATTAAAATATGTCCTCTTTTTTTTCCCGTTTCACAGAGACTTTGTATACTGTGAAAGTAACAAATGTCGGTAATTTGACTAATTTCAGTAGAAGTTATTAGAGTTCCATAGAATGTGTTCCGCTGTTTATGATTTTCTCGCCTTTATTTATAAGTTAATTCTTATATGTGTGCATCTGTTTTTCAAGTCTAGCAGCCAGCAAAGCAAATTGGGAAGCTGAACCGTATTGTAACTATGTAAAGAGGCGATACCAGAAAAATGGCATATAGGTAATAGGTGTCAAAATAAAAACGAGCTAAAGTAAAAATAGGTCGAATGTACTATCCTTCTTATACACTACCTACGGTCCTTAATATAAAAAGTTATTTAACTTTTATTTTATCCCTAAATATAAAATTTTAATTAACTTTATCTTTTATATTTATTCATTTTTCTAAGATAGTCATTGTAATTGTAATGGTAATTCCAGTCAATGTACTTAATTAACAGGGATATTTTATGAAAGACAATATATATTTATTACAAATAACTAATTTAATCTATTTAAATTAATTGATTAGTTCTTATATTAAGCATAGTAGTATGTTTGTGTATATATTCACAAGGGATGTGCGTGAGACATAAATAGCACTATTGGTTTTCGACCAAGAGCAGTCTTTGCTGATATCGGCAGCAATGAGGTTTGCTGGTCTAGGAGGAGACAGAGAAGGAATATATGGTCATGAGAGTGATAATTGCAATTGCGCAATATTCAGTAAGAGACAGCGTCCCTTTTTTTTTTTTTTTTTTTGGCACAGAGAATTACCCAACACGGCATATTGGTAGACTTGGAATCTCAGAATTCGGCTGAACGAGCATCTCAAATGACTCAGAAATTGTACCACTATTGGTGGCGGTTGCCAGCTTTCTTAATCAAGCCTTGTCTGCCACAAAATTCCATTGATGCCTCCATTAACAAGTTTCGTCACGTAATAATTTGAGTCATTGACCATTCTCGATCTTGAATTATTTTCCTCTGTTTCTTATCTTCCAAGTATCGTTCTCTGTTTGTTTATATGGTCATAGATGGGAACCAATCTTTCATGAGCTTCTCAGTGATGCTAGTTCCTAGCTTTTCTATATATAACAAGTGATGTTACTAAGAATGGCTGTTCAATTTTTTGTTTGGGTTATTTTAAGTCTGCATTTAAACGCCGCATTCGAGGACTCGAAAACTGGGCAAAAACCCATACGCAAGTACGTTACCTATCATTTTAGGCTCTCGTCTATTTTTGGCAGCGCAAAAGTAGAACTTGCAGAACTTACTATTATAGTGTGACAGTTAAAGGTTGCAGTAATAATTACGTTTCCAAAAACTGCATGTATGGGTACAGATATTAACAAAACCAAACATTAACGCGCATGTTTACATTCCCAACTTGTTGCCCGGTCGGCGAACATGTTTCTATTGTTCGGAGTAAAATCAACAGTTATCTATCATTTTGTTTAAGTTTTGTTTACTAACATTTTTTGGTCATTTGTCAAAATGATATGCTAATCACATTCTCTTTTAAATATGATGTCAATACGAATTGTTGTTATTTCAGGAACTGTTTGGTTGCCGGCATGTCGGGCATGGAATGATTAATGGGGTCTCTCCTTCTCTGTTTCACATATATTTGATTGCATTTTTTCAAATATATTTTCACCAAAATGCCCTATAAACTTTCACCCTGTTTATTTCTCTTATATACGTTCTCGTTGTTGTTGTATTTGTTAGTTGTTTTTAATTTATTCCATGTGTAATATTTGTCCTTGTTAAAAATTTTATCCTCCAGACTAAAATTTTAAATCAAATCAATCCAGTGCAAATAAATTAATTTAGATAAGGAAGAAATTGAAGCTGTTGATTGTTTTATTGGCTTAAGGGTATTATAGTTCTTATCCTTAATTTATATTTGAATAAACAATATAATTATACCCCATTCCTTTCCATTATCTCATGATCATGAAACAAATGGCTCCTTAGAATACTGCTGAGTGAAGT